GTTCACATATACTTTGTCTCATGTCATTGACCAAAATTTACAATGCAGCAGCTCCCCTCCCACTTCCTCCCCATAGTTACCTCCTCCCAGCGTCCGTCCCTTCATACTTTTCTGCACCCTGGATGCTCTTTAAACTTTGAACGGATCCTTAGATACCACTCAAGCCCAGAACTGAACCCACTCCCAGGGATTAACTTTCAGCCAAACAACAGACAGGCCTCTAAAGTGAACAATAACACCCCCTCAGAGCAATCATGCATACGAGACCGGAAGGGCAGCATTTGCGTACATACAAAGCTTAGCAGGCAGGCACGGCAAGAAAAGAAGGGCACACGGCAACGGGGAACCCAGGGAGGGAGCGGAAGAGTGCTGTTACATGGAGGGGACTGCAACCAATGTCATGAAACAAAATGTAACAGAAAACGAGTTTGCTCTTCAAACTTGAACTACAATTAAAAATAAACAAGACATGAAAAACAAAACAAAAAAAACCTTGAACCAAAACTATACCAAGGTCGTCTCTCAGCAAAATAACAGACTAACAGACATTACCCATGAGTACGGTGCCCCATCAAAAAATCTTCCCCACCAGGGAAGAGACAGCTTCCCCCTCACCATCTCACTGGGAAACTGCCATCTTCTGCTCCAGGAAAATGTTCCACAGGGAGGATGGATATGGGAGGAGGAGACAGCAGAGAGCTACACTCCACTGAGGAGGCCTGACCGTGGAGCAACCAGGAAACCATTAAAGGACTACACAGTCTGCCACATGGTCTCTGTGAAGTCTTGCAAGTAATTAACAGCCGTGAAGTATGTTCAAAGGAACTTAACAACCTTGAGCGGTGGTTTAGTTCTACCTTCCTATGTTGGAAAGCAACAATCTGAGTGAAGAAGGACTGAGAACGCATGGAGGGCTCTAATAAACTTCAGGGGTCAACATTCCTAGTACTTCTTTCTCTTTTCCAGAACCCTTTGAAATGCATGTATTTATTTATTTTTTAAATTTCCTTTTGCCTGAAAAATCTATATCCAATTTGAATGAAATTGAGTAAGTTTCAGGGATCAAGTAGAAAAAAACAATACAAGAAACAACAACGTCTCTATCAGACCAAATGGTTAACAATGGCTCCAAAGCAAAGATGAGAAGGAAAGGGGGCATGGAAACCAGAGCACTGGAAAAGGAACAACCAAAACACAATGGAAGACAATGTGACACACAGTGGAAAACATCTTAAGTCACTGAACAATTTGTGTATAAATTGTGAATGCTAACTTAATTTGCTACGTAAACTTTCACTGAAAGAACAATAAAAAAAAAAAAAAAAACCAAAACAAGCACAAAAACCCCAGACTGTTGCTGCCACGCCGAGTCTAACTCAGGAGGCCTCATCTGTGTCCGAGGGGAACGTGCCCCACAGGGACCTCGAGGGCTGACCTCTAGAAGCAGGTCGCCAGCCAGGCTTTCTTCTGAGGAATCTCAGGGTGGACTTGAACCTTCAACCTTCCGGTTGGCAGCCACGTGGGTCAACTGTCCTCACCACCCGGGGCCTCCCATTTCTTTACTGGGAGCACGCAGTACAGCAGCCACCTACACAGGCTCCCCCAGGCTCCAGTATAACATCTCTGTGCATATAACAGGCTGGGCCGTGTCAAACGAGGTGCCATTCCCTCGTGTCATATTCTTACCAATTACTTCAACAAGTATGGAAAAGTTTTCCTTGTCCCCTTACCCAGAATCAGAAGGGTGATCCCATTGAAAACTGCACCAACGTAAGTCATCAGCCACATGAAGACAGCCAGCTGTGAACACCAAGATTGGAGGGTTAAGCAGGAATAATGCAAAATTCAGGCTAACTGATGCATTCCCTGCTAGCAAATTAAATCTGCATACATCTAGTGATAGACACCATAAATAAGTTCAAAATCAAAGTTCCTGTGCTTGCATTGCACCTTCAAGGGTATGTAAGAGAATCCTGCAGTTCTCTTGGGCCCAAAGACAGATTGTTCTGTTCTGGTGTTAGTTCTCCAACAAGTGGAGGTGCCTTCTCGACTGACTCCTATCCCCACGTTATGGGTTGACCGTGAGAAGCATACATTAGTTTTTGCCTCATGAAGCTCTACTGACTGTTTGCCTCTGAATTATATAACCCAGTTGCAGGTTTCTCCCAGCCTCAATAACAAAAGCTGCAGAAGCAACTAACCTTCAAGGAGTCAACCAGATCTTCCACCAGAAACAGACGGATAATGAGTTTCAGGGCCCTGTTGATGTGCACCATAGCGGCATTCACGTAGTTGTGGAAAGCTTCAGAAGACAGGGTCATGTCAACATCCAAGTAGGCTCTTTGGGAAGAGAAACAGAAGTTATACACTGACTAGGAAGAAGTTTCCTTTCATAGTTAGCACAGCAGGTCTTCAGAGTGTGGGCTTGACCTGGGGGTGTTTTAGAAACCTACAGGAGCAACGTGGGCTGTCAAGAGGTCTACGGATGTCATGAGGCCTTTATGTCTACAAAATGCAGAGGCAGAGATGCTGGCTCTCTGCAAAGTGTGGACAGTCCTGCACAACAAAGTACTGGCCTATGCCCTGCATGACCTTTTCTATGGCAATGGACACTCATGAAGGTGAAAACCTTTTCTAACTACCAAGAGTCCGGAACATACAAACACAGGTATTTTTTGCACACTTCTGACATATCCTGAATTCTCTAAAAGTATTTTTGTTTATGCTGAAATTTTACTAAGATTTTTCTCATCATTCTGAAATTGTAGCTGCAAGTATGTGATTATTATGTTTTTCGGTGTCCAAGCAATTAAATGACCAAAATAAATTATAAGAGGATTTCTATTTTTTTATGCCTTTATAATTAAGATCTATTTTTTGAAATTATGTTTGTAAAAAGATTATATATTATCTATGAATTTCATTTCAGAATAAAGGAAGAATTATAAAGTACTTGTTAAAAAGTAAAAAGGAAGGTGGTGACAGTGAATTTTATAGGGTTGAAAACTGAGTCATTCTCCACTTCTCCCCAAAAATAATAATCTAGGTTCTGCTTCCCGGATGAGTGGAGTTGGTGTGTGAAAATACGTCCTCAAAACTTACTCACTGACTCAAGGTTTTCCGAGTTCCTATGGTGTATCAGATATTCTGCTAGGTGCTAGGGTTTTAGAAGAAGGTAACGCTGTTTTGTCATATCCCTTTCATGACTATGGTATATATACTGCCCACCTACATTTTTTACCTCTGGGGTTTAGCTGGACACTGATACCCCAACTTCTGTGTGCTGCCCTCTGGTGGGGGCCTGTATAACTGCATGAATCTAAAAAAACTGACCTCATCCCACCAACCCCAGCACTAGAGACCCCTGGGGCACAGTGTCCCACTAACAGTATCAAAATGCATTAAAAAAAGAGTTCTTTCCCATCTTATTAAAAATGCCTTCCGTTATTGTAAACACATGGTTGCAACAAAAAATTCAAAGCAGAAAACAATTCAGTCTTAAAAGGGTTAAGGAGCCTACAGTCTGTGGAGAAAATGGAACAGTGCCAGTAATGCTTTTCTTTCTAAGTTATTAAGCAAACACTTACCAACTATAAAACTTTTAAGAATTAGGTATCTGTAATTAATGCAATTCAGTGAAATACATTTTATAAATCCACAATGATGTTATGAAAAAGGAGGAAAAAATCTGCTAGAACATCTAAGGTTTGTGAAAAACTCATTTATTCAACAACTTTGATTCGTTAAAACTAATTTGCTATAATTTTGAACATTTTACTTATGTAGTAGCTGAGAACATACACAGCAGAGCACGCACCAATAGTTTCCACAGGAACAATTCAGGGGCACAGGTGACATTCGTCGAGTCGGGCAACCATTCTCATTCTGCTTTTCTGAGAGTTTCCTGCCCTTTGAACATGAACACACTGCCCTTTAAGTTCCCCATCTAACCTTTTGAGTTGCTGTTGTCAATTTGATCCTATACACATAGTTCTTAAAAGAGCAGAATGTTTAAGGTAGATTTTTTTGTTTTTAAACTAGTTAAGGTAAACTATTGTTCACTTGTAAGAAGACTTCAGGGGCTATTTTTGGTTATCTCAGGGCAGTAGTTTCAGGGATTTATCCAGCTTCCATGACTCCAGAAAGTCTGGTGTCCATAAGAATTTCAACTTCTGTGGGGACCAGGTTTGCTGGTCCAATAGAGCCTGGTGTAACCACTGAGACTATGGCCCCTAGCTGCCCTTCAGGTCTGGAATTGAACCCACAACTGTGGTTTCCAGCCAAACAAAGTACAGGCATGTGAGTTAAACATTTACCTCAAGTAGACACACGCCCTGGAGAGAACAATCATGGGAGAAGGAAGGGCTCCTTATGCACAAGGAGACAGCTCAGGGCGCAGAAGAGTATGGAGGGATGGACACTGGGAGGAGGTAACTATGGGGAGGAAGTGGGAGGGGAGCTGCTGCATTGTAAATTTTGGTCAATGACATGAGACAAGGTATATGTGAACTGCTGTATGAAAAGTGAATTTACTCTGTAAATCTTCACCCAAATCCTAATAAAAAAAAAAAAAAAAAAAAAGAATTTCAACTTCTGCGCAGTTTACAATAGATTTTTAATATCACGACATGTTGTTGCTGTTACATGCTGCAAAGTCAGCTCCGACTCCTAGTGGTAACAGAACGAAACACCGCCCGGTCCTGCGCCAGTCTCATGATCCTTCCCATACCTAAGCCATCGATGCAGCCACTGGTGTCATTCCATCTCGTTGAGGGTCTTCCCCTCTTTGATTGCTGACCCTCCACCTTACCAAGCATGATATCCTTCTCCAGGGAATGGTCCCTTCTGACAACATGGCCAAAGTAGGTCAGACGAAGTCTGGCCATTCTCCCTTCCAAGGAGCATTCATTCCGGCTGCACGGCCTCCAAGACAGATTTGTTTGTTCTTCTGGCAGTCCAGGGTACTTTCAGTATTCTTCGCCAACACAACTCAAAGCATCAATTCCTCTTCAGTCTTCCTTATTCATCCTCATCCAGCTTTCACATGCATATGAGGCAACTGAAAACACAAGGCTTGAGTCAGACGCGTCTTAGTCTTCAAAGAGACATCTTTGCTTTCCAGCACTTGAAAGAGGTCTTTTGCAGCAGAGTTGCCCAGTGCAATACGTTGTCCGATTTCTTGACTGCTACTTCTACTGATGTTGATTGTGGAACCAAGTAATATGAAGTCTTTGACAACTTCCATCTTTTTTCCATTTATTATGATGTTGCTTATTGGGTCAGTTGTGAAGATTTTTGTTTTCTTTACATTGAGATGTAATCCATACTGCAGACTGTAGTCTTTAATTTTCATCAGTAAATGCTTCAAGTCACCTTCACTTTCAGCAAGCAAGGATGTGTTGTCTGCATATTGTAGGATGTTAATGAGTCTTCCTCCAATCCTGTTGCCACATTCTTCTTCCTATGGTCCAGCTTCTCGGATTATTTACTCAGCATACAGATTGAATAATATGGTGAAAGGATACAACCCTTGACATACCCTTTCTGGTTTTAAACCATGCACTATCCCCTTGTTCTGTTCGAACTACAGCCTCCTGGTCTATGTACAGGTTCCTTGTGAGCACAATTGTGTGTCCTGGAATTCACATCCCTCTCAATGTTATTCATAATGTGTTATGATCTGCACAATCGAATGCTTTTGCATAATTAACAAAACACAAGTAAACCATTCTTTGCTTTCAGCCAAAATCCATCTAACATCAGCAGTGATATCCCTTGTTCCATGTCCACTCCTGAATCCAGCTTACATTTCTGTACGTTTCCTATCAATATACCTATGCAACTGTTTTTGAATATCTTCAGTAAGATTTTACTTGCATGTGATATTAATGATATTGTTCGATAGTTTCCATATTCTGTGGGATTACCTTTCTTTGGAATGGGTACAAATATGGATCTCTTCCAGTCAGTTGGCCAGGTGTCTTCTAAATTTCCTGGCACAGACGAGTGAGTGCCTCCAGAGTGGCATCCATTTGTTGAAACATCTCAATGGGTATTCTGTCAATTCCTGGAGCCTTGTTTTTCGTTAATTCCTTCAGTGCAGGTTTGACTTCTTCCTTCAGTACAATTGGTTCTGGATCATATGCTACCTCCTCAAATGCGTGAACACCCACCAAGTCTTTTGGGTACAGTGACTCTGTGTGTACTCCTTCCATCTTCTTTTGATGTATCAATCAATATTTTGCCCATAGAATCTTTCAATATTGCAACTCAAGGCTTGTTTTTTTTTTCTTCAGATCTGTCAGCTTGAGAAATGCTAAGCATGCACTTCCCTTTTGGTTTTCCAACTCCAGGTGTTTGTACATTTTGTTATGGTAACTGACTCTGTCTTCTTGAGCTGCTCTTTGAAATCTCCTATTCAGCTCTTTTATCTTGTCATTTCTTCCATTTGCTTTAGCTACTCTCCATTCAAAAGCAACTTCCAGAGTCTCTTCTGACATCCATTTTGCTCTTTTCTTCCTTTCCTGTCTTTTTAATGACCTTTTGCTTTCTTCATGGATGCACGTTCTTGATGTCATCCCACAATATGTCTGGTTTTCGGTCACTGGTGTTCAATGCATCTATCTATTCTTCAGACTGTCTCTAAATTCAGGTGGGATATAATCAAGGTCTTATTTTGGCACTCGCAGACTTGTTTTTCAGCTTCAACTTGAACTTGCATATGAGCTGTTGATGGTCTGTTCCACAATCAGCTCCTGGTCTTATTCTGGCTGAAGAGACTGAGCTTCTCTACTGCTTCTTTCCACAGACGTAATCCATCTGATTCCTGTGTATGCCATCTGGTGAAGTCCACGTGTACAGCCACTGTTCGTGTTATTGATAAAAGGAATTTGCAACAAATAAATTGTTGGTCTTGCAAAATTCTATCATGTGACTTCCAGGATCATTCCTATCACCAAGGTCATATTTTCCAACTACTGGTAATTCTTCTTTGTTTCCAACTTTTGCTTCCAATCACCAGTAATAATCAACATCTCTTGATGGCATGTTTGGTCAATTTCAGACTGCAGAAGTTGGTAAAAATCTTTAATTTGCTCATCTTTTGCTTTGGTGGTTGGTGCATAAATTCAAATAGTAGTAGTATTAACTGGTCTTCCTTGTTGGCATATGGGTATTATTCTACCACTGACAGCTCTGTACTTCAGGATAGATCCTGAAACATTCTTTGTGACGATGAATGCCATATCATTCCTCTTCAATTTGCCATTCCCAGCACAGCAGACCATACGGTCAAAACTAATGCATTTCAGCACAGTAATGCCTAAGATACCTATCTTTATGTGCTCCACTTCATTTTTTTACAACTTCTAATTTTCCTAGTTTCATACTTCTTCGTACATTCCATGTTCCAATTATCAGTGCATGTTTGCAGCTGTTTCTTACCATTCTGAGTCATGCCACATCAGCAAATGGAGGTCCCAAAAGCTTTACTCCATCTTTGTCATCAAGGTTGACGAGGAAGCAGCTCTTCCCCCAGCACTGTAACAGACAGTGTTTCCGAGGTATTTATAAAGTTTTCCAGTAAGTTACTGGACAGTGTTTCACTGGCCAATTCGATGCGAAGTGGACGGTCTCTGTCTCGAGTCTGTCTTATCACAACATACCAAAACCAAACTCACTGCCGTCAAGTCAGGCCTGACTCACAGTGACCCCTCCTTGGGTTTCTGAGGTGGTATGACTATGGAAGTAGATTGCCCAACTTTTCTTCCAAGGAGTGGCTGGTGGGTTTGAACCGCCAGCCTTCTGGTTAGCAGTCAAATGCC